ATTGGATCCTGCAAATATCTCACACTCAGACAACATAACATTTCTCAACCCGCACGCATACCTTGAAGCTTTCGTGATTTTTCTCTCACCTGTGCCAACCAACTACTCAATTCGTCCCATGTGTCGGCGTCTTCCACATTCCCGCTTACAGAGCGCGTAGCACCGGCATCGACCCCCGCCTCCCGGGAAAATGAATGCCAACCCCTCCGAGTTGCTAGAGGCTTCTGTTGAATGACTTCCCAACCTAGTTTTCGAACATCAAACAGCTCTACTAGCAACTCTAACATGCACCTTCGAACAATAAGGTCCTTGCTAAACGACTCCTGCGACCCGTCATGTTCGGAAGCACGTAGACACCAAACCTCAAGCTGACCAAACACCTCGAACCCAAAATCTAATCACGCAACCCTCCCCCTTCTGGCAGGCGTGCTTATGTGCCGGCTCCAACGGCTTGGCCTTGGCCTGCATCGCAAAGCTGCGATTGATGATTCGGGTTGAACTTATCACTTTTCTTGTTGCGGTTTCCATCACTGCTACCCACAAAGATTACTCTTGAGGTTGGAGCTTGGGTATCGCGAAAACCTTCCTCCGCGTTTACCCCGACCGATCAGCCCCAAACCATCCGGCTAACCCTTCCTTTTCCCGGGCACCTGAACCTGAACGGCTTTGGAGCTGCCACTGCCCTGCTGCCTGGAGGGTGCCAAGGGAAAGCTTTAGGGGTTTAGGGGGTTCAGCGCTCTAACTTTGTGTTCAGGGTTTATAAGCTCGCAGGGACTGGGGGTTCAGAGGTTGGCTTGGAAAGACAAACACTTGTGCATCTCGCCAAGGGTCCAGAAATTATGGTAGAGTTCGAGGTTATGGGGGTCTAGGTGTGAGGTGATGTGGTTCGGGTTGGGGTATTTCGGGTTATGGGATGTATACAGGGCAAGCACTTGGAGGCTCCGGATCAGATGCCCCAGGTCGTCATTCAGAAGACAGCAGCACCCTTGCTTCAGGAAGGCTCCCTGTTCAAACTTCTTTGAGGGCTTAGGGCCCTGGCTCGAGCTCGCTCGGTTGGATCCAGGATAGTCCGCTAAACCCCAAGTCCCTTTTGGAACCCTTGCAGGATGCCTTAAGGGTCCCTGTAAGGATTCCAGGCGCAAGCTCCCGGGGATGGAAGTGGGGTAAACAGACTTTTTATAATGTAGGGGCCTTAATTTAGAGTAGGGTTTGGGGGTCCTTTAAAGTATATTTACAAGTAGGGGCGTAGGGTTTTGGGGTCCTTTGTAGTATATTTACAGTAAGGAACCCTAACAGCGTTGGCTCAGCTTCCAGCTTCTGCCGAGCTTTCGCGTCCTTCAAAGTGGGGTGCGGAAGCCCCAAGATTCTACAGGACGCCGGGCCGTTTGGGTGGAAGTTCAGAGCTTCGAAGGAACAGCCGAGCCAGGTCTTATACGACACGACTTTCAACCGAGCTAGCTATGACCAGCCCAGCCTTCTGCTTCCCTGATCTCATCTTCAGGCTCCAGATGCATACTTTGACCACAAGCTTTCTGCTTTGTTGTCAAGGAGGGAGTGGAACACACCTCATTTCCCACACTCTACACCCCAGCCCCAAACACCCCAAGCCCCCAAACCCAAAACCCTAGAGCCTCAAGCTCTCAACATTGAGTCGAAATCTAAAACTGTCTGACATCAACTCAGTGACAGGGAGAGGCTCCTTCTTCAGGACTTTGAGCACGTCTTTGGACCCCATGGCCAAGGCGGAGGTTAGGTTTAGGCGCGAAGATTTAGGCTCCGATATTTAGAGCTTGAACTATGACGTTTCACGAACAGGGTTTAGGTTCTCATGTTCGAGGCTTCGTGTTTGGGGCTGAGGGTTTAAGGTCTCGAGTCTAGAGGCTAGGCTCCTGTTTGGTTTTGGGCTCAGGGCTTAGACCCTGAGGTAGGCTGGATCCCTGAACGGTTTGACTTGGCGATGGGAAGCCGAAGTCCAAACATCCAGTCTCGAGGTACCCAACACTGGTGCATGTGTCGCAATGGCCACGTACAGTAGGTCTGCGACGATTTGTAAGCCTGCAAAGCAGCAAAGAAAGGAGAGAGATCACATGTTGCAAGCCTCGCTGCTGAAATGATACTCCCGTCCGCCGAGATGGAGCCATAAACTCATGGCCTTACGCCAAAACCTCCACTGAAATCGGAGTTCCCCGGCCTTCCGGAGAACCCGACTCCGAAAATAGAACATATAGAGAACACATATAGCCTGTGCAGAACATGTGGACACCATGCTGCAAGACGGCAGGTGGCACCGGCGGCGCAGTGGCGGGGCACGCCTGGCGTCTTGCAACATTGGACTAAGATGCCGAAACCCTAATATAGGGGCCTTAGTAATTAGAACAGTGCTGTAAAGGAACCCCCTTAAAATTATTGGTAAAAATTTAGGCCCCTACATTACAGCCGCAACAAGCCGGAACTGTAGAGTCTGAGTGCTTGCGAACAGAGGCCTCTAGATTTGCAGGGCAGTGCCTTTTCCGTAGCTTGTCGGGCCTCCGGCTTAAAGAAGAATGCTAGGACAGGAAGAAGGGTAGTTTTGGCCCAACTTTTCATAGTCACATTAATATGGAGCCGGCGAAGATGAGAATGCAGATGTGCCCTGCCGAAAGAGTTCCGCCACCCCCGTCACAGTCCCAGAACCCCAACACCCAACCAACCGATGAAGGCCTCAACATGTCTTCAGCCTTTCAGTCCTTAGCCGCCTTAGCCTCTTTTCCTGCCATATGGGGGTTTCAGAAAATAGGGGACCCTAATATAGTACCCTAAATAGTAGGATCCTTATTATAAGGACCCAAAAAGGGACCATAATTTTGACAACCACCCATATCCCTCCGGAAAAGACTCGAAGGCTTTCATCCGGGCCTCCAGGTCGAGACAAGCCCGGGAGCCTGCTGAAAGGATGCTTCGGCTCACGTGGCCTTTCCGGGTTGAAGGGTGTTTAGGGTTTAGGGTTTAGGGTTTAGGGTTTAGGGTTTAGGGTTTAGGGTTCCCGAACTCGTCCTAGCTCAGCCACTGGCGAGGTGCAGCACGCGGGAGCGCGGGGCAGAACATGCAGGCTTGCGCACTGTCCGAAATCCGCAAAGGAACTAACAAAGCTTAGGGTAACGGCCACAGCACTACAACCTGGGTCATGAGCCTCCGACTAAGCCGTCGACATCTCGCAAACTCCCTTGCAAGTTGTAGCCGAGCCTTGCACGGAGCCCCAGAGTTCGCCGATGGCCATGGCGCCACATGGTGGGAAACGACCCAACTCCAACCCAGATGCCCAACCCAACGATGATCCCCATAGTGCATGTTCTTCAGGGCAAAGATAGCTCGGCCGAATGCCGATTACCGGTACTAGGTTTGCGGATTTCCTGAAACTGGACTGCTCTGGTCAAGGAACGTGAAGGCATGAAGAAGTTGCTACACTGAGCTCACACAGCTCCGAATGGTGAGGGCAAGCTGCAAGAGTGCATGACAAGGCTAGCGACTTGAGCAAGCTGAAACTTATGCCAGAAGCCTAGGATCAACAAGGGACGAGGGCACAACCCCGGCAAAATCTCACGGCCCAGTGAATGCCAGCCAGACGCCTTTTCCTCACTCCCTTTCTCCCGCTTACTCCTTTTCGCAGTCGCGGGTTAGCGCAATGCCACGGCCAGGCCGGACCCAGTCCTTCCATGTGATCGCTGCGGGGTCTTAGAAGGATGTCGGCTTGGGTCAGGGTCCGGGGCTCTGACGCCATGTCCGCACCCAAAACGTCCAGGCACTCAGAAAAACGCCCAACGTGACAGCTTGCTCTATGCTGCTTCAGTCATAGTTCAACCCTTTAAGACTAAAGGAAATGAAGCTGGAAGGCCGGGGGCTCTGAAAGACTTGGCTTCCGACTTCTCCACCTGAAAGGCTCGCACTGACCGCTCCATGGTGTGATGGAATCTACGACGGGGTCATCAAACATGCTTCGCCCTTCCTAGCAGTGCATCCAACGAACCAAATGGCTGCTCCAAGCTGTCACCTTGAAATACTGAAGCAGATCACAAACCTTAAACCCCCCAAAAACCCCTAATCCTAAAGTTCTATACCCCTAAACCATGTTACCAGGTATAAACCCACTCGTTTCAGTCTCGCCTCGGTCGAATTGGCCATTGGCTGCACGAAGCTTTACAGTAGCTTCAAGACGATTTGATCGTTGCGCTTGAAGACACCTTCATGAGGAATGTTAAACCCCTTCAGTCTGCTTTGCTGCTCGTGCCAACGCATGATCATGGGGATTGTTCGGGTTTCTTTCAAGTCACATTGCTGCTAGTGCCCTTCGAGCCAATGCAATGATCTTGCTGGGTGCGCCAAGAACCGCTTTGCCATCGACTTTGGAGCATGGTTGCCCATGGTTGCTGTACGGCTGCATCTACTGCCTTTGAACTAGCCTCTTGTTCGCATGTTCTTTCCCTGATGATGTCCACTGCCAGGACTCTTCTTAAACCCTGAACGCGCCACGCACAAGTTGTGAAGCTAGCATGCGCTCCGAGGTGCAAGGCGAACTGTTTTGGTGCTCACGCATGCTTTGGTTCACAATGTAGAGTCTGGATGGACATCGTAAGAAGTAGCAGTGTGGGAGCAGTTTGGGAACTAATGGCTCTGGCTGTTAACACAACTTTCTCTAGACGCTCCGCCCAACTAGTCCGTGCTGCAAGACTTGGAAACCGATTCCAGACCCGCTGCTGCTGGATCAAAACTCGGGCTGCCCGCATCAAAACACCCCGCAGTTGCCAGCGGGACTAAAGTCATTCAATTGTGAACTCTCCGAGTAGTCCGTGCAACCCAGAACAACCGCTGCTTCGATCGACTCCGGTGCAGCCCGGACATCCTAAACCGTGCATTCATGCACAAGGTTTCATACTGAGGTGAGAAGGGACGAGGGGCCGGGCCGGCAGCTCGGGATCCAAAGGTCCCAAAGCTCCAGCCCAGGATTCTTGAAGAACGCAAACCGATCAATCATCACAGTCCGTGCACAAAAGCATGCCCATCGGTGCAAAAGGGAGCTCTCCACCCAGGTGTCGGGCTCCAAGGAAACGTCGTAGCATGCGCACCGGGCTCGATGCAAAAGGCGACGACTCCAAAGTCAGAGATGGATCCTCTGCCGAGACTCGAGCCCGATTGACGGGCGCTACAAAGCCATCCCTCTCCACCACCTGGCGGTTGTAGAACTCAGTCCAGGCTGCACTCTTGGAGACGGGCCAACTGATTCCCAAGAAGCTGCGCTGCTTCTGGATCTCTGAATCCTGCGGCGTTTCTGCGTTGCCGTAGAGGCTGCCGGCGAAGACCTTGAATGGCCGTTTCTACACTTGACCGAGTGTTACGAGTACTCTACAGTGACAATCTAGAAGGCAACTTCACAGCTCTGAGACACGGCCCTTTACAACATGGATTGAGTTCACAAACACAGCCCGTTTTCCGGAGCTGAGAAATTGAAAAGGCAGAAAGAAACAGGTCATCTCTAGCAAGGGGCATGGACGGCGGTCGGAAGTGGCACGTCGCTGACCGGCGCCTGATGGGGACGAAGGCGCCGGCCCACCAACCCGAGCTTCGCCTCCGGGCCTGCGAATTCCACACACCCACGACTGAGTGAACACGTGTCTGGAGACCAGGAGACGGAGACTGCACAACCTACTCCGACATGATGAAGGTCGAAATACTGTCCATGTCCGGGTCTAGCCAAGCTCAACTTCGCATTGCCACTGCAATCTTCACTGCACGGGACCGGCCTGTGCTGAAGCAGCTTGCAACAGCTTCGGCTTCGTAGTTGGAGATCAGGACCTGCTGCTTGCGTCCTTCGGAGTGTGGCGGTTGATCTCTTGTTACCCGATACTCAGAACAGAAACAGGCTGCTTTGGGAGGGGAACTTACGACCCGCAATCATGTTGGCGGACAAGCTCTCACGATGCACTGTTGCTGCGCGCAGTCCTTGCAGCAGCCAGAGGGCTGGTCGAAGGTAGCTGTCGAGGACACCACTGTTTTCAACCGTTGCAATGAAGTCAGGGGTCACCTTGACATCTACCGAAGCCCAATCCTTGTGAGGGAAGGATGTCCTCTGGAGCAGCTGTGCCATGGACCAAAATGGCTGAGTCGTGTGGCCTGTGGTAGCAAGACCCCGCACGCCGGGTGACACATGGGGTTTGCAGGGGTCTGCAGGGCCCGGACGCTCCAACTGTCGTTCCTCCTCCAACTCGGCTTCGAGCTCGCGCTCCTGCTCTTCATCCAACATCCCTGATGGCATCGTCACATCGCTAGCAAGAGCTTGAACCCGAGCTTGGATCTCGGTCTGTAGCCGTCTCAAGCGAATGCCGTCGGGAGACTTGCCGAGTGGATTCACGGCATTTGCAACACGCTGCAACACCTCCTTGACGATCTGAGGGAGAGTCGCTTGTGCACGAGCATGGCCGTACATGATCCGCAGCAGCAGAACTTCGTCCTCTGCACAGGCGCCAGCCACCTGAACTTCCAAGCTTCATGTGGAATCTGTGAATCCCAAAGCTACAAACCTGAATTTCCCTGGAACGTAAACCCGCATCCTCCCGCCTTGGGAAGCTCCTCCAAGCCAAGGTTGGCATGTGCTGCGTACGCGGCCTCCTTGCGGATACGGGCAGCTCCCTGGCTGGCCCAGTACGGCAGCTTTTCTGCGATGGCCTTCGCCTGAATGCCCGAATGGCGGTTCTTATGGGCTCTCGGAGGCTCTTATTGACCCTTTTCATGCCAAGAGCTACTGTGCAAGACAAAGTTGCAGTGTTCGTGAGACACCAGGACAGGACGGAGGCGACGATGGGAGCGTCCTGAAGCTCTGGCTTGCGTAGGTATGTCTGGACTTGGAGGTCCACCTCGAAGGATGCCAGGAAAGCGACGGCATGCCCATTGCCCAACAAACGCATTCTCATGCAAGCTTGCACGAGCTTATCCTTCTGCATACCACGTCCTAGTGTGACAACGGCTCTGCTGGCTCTTGGCATGCGGAAATCACATCCACGGCAGTGCACATCATCCAAGTATAGGAGGCACTTGTCCAGGGATCGCTCGTAGGGCGAGACTGCCAAGGACATCACCTTCCCAAATTCATTCACGACGGAAGCAGTGTTATTGGCATCGAAGAAAATAGCCGCCTCCTTGTCGCGGAGTCCGCGACCGCGACGTGTTTTGAGCCATCCCTCTGCCAGCTCTTGGTTCGACTTGTCTATGACCAGCGCTCCAGCATCTAGCAAGACATTCACATCGGGGTCGGAGATCAATTCTTCCAAGATCTCGCGTCCTCCCGCATCGTGTGGAAGCTTCCGGTAGCTTTGGTTCTCCTGCAGGTCTTTGCATAGAACCGGGACTTGAGGAGCCCGAACTGCCGAGTAGAAAGAGTGCGAACTTGTTTCTTTCAGTAGTTAAACAACTGCGATGGTACAGCTGAAGATGCCACTCTAACAGAAGAGGACATCGTTCCTCCGTGCACAATGCCTAGGTTCCAGTCCTTCCGCATCAGGTTTCGCAGGACAAGCCCGTTCGTGTGCGCCAGCTCTTGGAGATTCGACTGCTGGATGGTTGTCGGAAGCAGCGGTCTGGCATCGTCCGTCCCAGAAAAGCCAGTGGTGATACGGCCCACAGGACACAAATCCCACGGTGTTGCAACCAGCTTCTGTGGAAACTGCTTGGCCTCTTTGGGGAAAACAATCTCCCCCAACCAAAAGTCGACCACGGCGCGGTGGCGTCTAAGAGCCGGGAAGACTTTCTTATGCAAGGTCTCCCTGTCATCCAGGTTTACTCCAGACCTCGGCATGCTGCGATGTTTCGATATCAAACTTGAAACCGAAACTTAAGAGAGAGAGAGAGAGAGAGAGTGAGAGAGTGAGAGAGACTGTGCGTGTGTGCTGGCATTATAATCTGAGTCACCACTCACACAGTTCCGTGGGCATTGAGGCTCCCATCTGACAAGTCCACTGCCTGTAAGTCGCGGCTGCCTGACGCTCGTTCTTCTGATGAAGGCGTCTGAAGACTTCTTCCATCGCTTCCTTGTCCAGCCCACCCCTGTAATACGTCACCAACGTAAGCATGATGGCCACATCTGGGTGTCCGAACTCCGTGCGCTCAGCAGCCACATCCTTGGCCCTGTATGGTACGGCCATACGGCAGCGACCTGAAGGCTGCGCCCCAAACTCAACTCTCCATCGCTTGCCGAGAGCAAGTCGAAGGACCTTGTGGCAAAGCAGCCCACGTAGGACATAAGCGACTGGCTGCACGCTTTCATGCAGTTTGGTCCATGGCTTGTGCTCCGAACACACTTCGAGAGCACATTCCTTGAAGGCCTGCCTTTCTTCCTCTCCACAAATGCGCAGGGAAAGGCTCGACTGCCCCGATCCGAACACATCCTCCACGATCCACCGGCAAAGCTGTTCGTAAGCGGCCTTGCTGCTGTCATGGTCCAGCAAGCGGACGGTGGGATATTGAAAGTCCGGAGTGCCCGGAACAAACTCCACCGCCTTCTTTCCAAACGTCTCGGCCAAGCCTTCAGCCCTGCGAGCCACAGAAGCAAGCACACAAGAGGCCACCCGCCATCGAAGCTGTCCACCATCAAGCTCCCCAGGATTGCCGAGTGTATAGATCAGCTGGTACTTCGCATGCAAGATCTCGTCGGACTCGTCCAAGACATCCCTCACATGCATCTTCAGAAAGTCGAGGCCGGAATGCAGAGCCTGGCTCGTCTGCATCTTCTTGTCGTCAGATCTGTAGGCCAGCTCGAGGGCCTTGTTCTCGAAAGAGAGCCGATGCTCGGGCACCGTCACGATGACATCCCTTCCTCGGATCCGCGAGACGTATCTGGACACCGAGAGCTCGCGAGGCGGCAAGCCGAGGCGGCGACCGAGTCGGACACGGTCCAGAAAGCAGTGGAGGCTCTGCGCCTCGATCTCCTGGCGCACGCTGGGATTCCAAAGGTGGGGCAGATGCGCAGCATGCCTGTCCGCCTCCAGCTTCAGATCCCGGCGGCAGAACATAGGATACAGCCGATGCCCCAAAAGACCACCGAGCCTAGCACAGAGCGAAAGCCGGGGCCGAGCATACAGGCAAGCACTATCAAGCGCTGGTCGTGTGCCGACACATCGATTCTTGGCGGTCAGAGGCGCTTGTGCTGCCATTCCGTTGCATTGCTGTGCCGCAAGGAGGATAGAACCGTGACGCGCAAAAGACTGTTCCCGTCGGCCAAAGATGCAATCAAAAGGGGGACGATGACGGATGTCCTCAGCTGGAGAAGCAGAAGATGAGGCCAATGCTGTTTCAACCCGAAGGGATGTCTTTAAGATCCTTTAAGTGCTGTTGGTCTGGCCATCGGTGCACAGAGCGCCAGGTTCTGGACTGACCGTTATCCCCCATCGGCTGCTGAGAAGCCGTTCTACAGAAAAGGATCACATTGCAGCACCTGGAGCAGCATCTGTAACGACCAATGCCTCCGAGCATCTTTCCTTCGCCCATGTTCAATTGCATAAGACGGCTCTGCCTATCTTCTGGATTCTCTGTACCCTCCAACATCATGCTTTTGGCCACAGCCACCTGCTCTTCCCGAATGCAGAGCTCATTGTCGACCTCCAAGAGCAACCACTCCGGGTGCTCCGTCGGCTTCCAGTTCGTGCAGCCAACGCTGGACGGATGAAGCTCCCTCGAAAGCCAAGAGCTCATCTCTCCCCCGGCCGCCAGGCGCAGGCAACGCAAGGTGCGCTGCTCTGCACGCAGGCAGACTGCGTAGGCTCCAATAACTCTTCCTTGCGGTTGACAACTCCCGGACTGCAACGTCTGGAAACTGACTGAAAAAGCAGCCGTGGCAGATTTTTCTGATTATCCGAGAGGCGTAGCTGGGGATTTGTGGTCTGCAGCAAACGGGGCAGCGCACTAAGCGGTACGGGAATGTCGTGCAGGCCACACTGGCGAAGCAAATCATCCCATTCGCCTCCAGCACTGCAACAGAAATGGTTTTTGCTGCAAGCATGTTTGAGTTACGCCGAGGACCAACGTCTTTTCGTCTCGCTTCCCCAGTCCCGCAGTCCCGCCTTGTCCCTCGAGCGATCTGCAAATGCAATCCCAAGCAAACGCTCGCTCAGTCTTCACCTGGTGAAGGTATGTTTGCAAATCGCGCCTCGGCTGCTAGATTTCACCTCTGGCAAGAGTGCCTGCGCAGCTTTATCCGAAGCATGTGCTACATGCGTAACATGATCCGGTTCTTGACTCTAAACAATTCGAGCATCTTTGTGGAAGTCGGTAGCTGGGTGGGTTGCTGCTGTGGCGGCTGCTTCGTGTGGGCCAGCTCCCAGCTCTCGCGCAACGGATCCAGCAACTGCTTGTTGATCATGGCATGCTCCTGAATCTGCCGGGCAAGGCTGCATGATCTGCAAATACATGTGTGGCAACTGAGTTGAGCAAGAGGTCAGTCTCCTCGTCTGGAGACAGCTGCAAGGTGGGAGCGCGGGTTTTACGAGACGTGCCATCCAGGACGACTGGCTTTCGGAATTGGCCCGTCTCCCACAGCCTGTCCAAAGTCGCGCTTTTGACAACCTCCACCTTGGTTTGGCAAAACATCCGCCCGGAAGAGAGGCATAAATCTCCAAATCTCTTTCCTACCCTAAACCCTAAACCCTAAACCCTAAACCCTAAACCCTAAACCCTAAACCCTAAACCCTAAACCCTAAACCCTAAACCCTAAACCCTAAACCCTAAACCCCAAGCCGCCTCTGTGGGCTCGGATAGCCACACGGACTCTCGAGGAGTTCGAGGTGCGAGTGCACGAGGAAAAGTGACATCCCACTCTTCTGGGAGCTCCTCGTGGACCTCGCCGTCCTCTCTGCCGAATCGCTTTATGGAGGGTGCTGGACAAGGGCTGAGTTTGCGAGGCGTAGGCGTAGGCGTGGGGGATAGGGGGTTGGGAGGTTTGAAGGTCTCTCCCGGTCCTCCTTCAGCTTTTGGAGCTTCGTCTCCACGTGCTCCAAGAAGTTTCGCAGATCCAAAGCCTGCCTGCATCTGATCAGGTAGGCATTGATCTGTTTGGCCAGAAGTTCGGGGTTCTCGATCGTGCCTTTTGCACACGAAAACCGCTGCATCTCACCCCCGTGCACCCACTTCCGGTGCGTGTCACCTTCGATGAGCGATAGGTCTTGTAAGCTGTCGCGCTGAAACTGACTGCGGCGTTGTTGGTGCTCCCTCGAAGCTCTCTCCTGCTCTACGGGGTCCCTGAAGTATGGCTCTTCTTCATCAAACTGCTTCTGGCCTGCCTTGATTATGCATCGGACTGTTTGCCTGTTGAGCTGGTGCTCGTCCGGATGCTTATACAACTGATGCGGTGGCAACTCTATGCCCGAGAAGGTCTCCTGGTGAATGGCAATGGTCGAGAGGACTTGCAAATGCACCACATGCTGGGGCCATTGCCGTGCCAAGTAAGCCAAGAAGAAGTCAAAGCGACGTCTGTTCTCAGAGCGAAGGGCAGCTTGGTACAATGCAATCCAACAGAGCCTCATGTTCTCGCAATTCTGTCCGATCTGGTACCATTCAACTAGACTGCCAGCCTCCAGCTCGACGTGGGAGTAGCCCTTCAAGTCTTCCGACGAGCGTAGGAAATCTTGCAGCGAAACTGCTGGGGACACAGGATAGTGGCTTAAACATACCAGCGCAACTTGTCGCAACGAAGCTCTGTCGTGCTCTTCCTCTTGCCACTCGGCTGGAGCCCAGGGCCGCCAGGGTCCCTGCAGAGCCGCATCTTCCTCTTCCGGCTGTAAACGCCCAGGCAAGCCGAGGACCTCCCGGCTGCGCAAGTAGGCCCGTTGAGTCAGCGCGCTGCATCTGTCCTGCATCTCTTCAACTGCTTTCTCCAGCTTTTTGCTTGCCTGCTCCCCTGTGAGTTTGCACTGCTCCAGCACCTCTATGAGGGCGTCACGAGCGAGAAAAGCAAAACCTTCGTGGGCACACAAGCCTGGCATCCCATGAAAGTCGACCACTTCCATAACCTGAGTTCCAAGCATCCTGGTGCGACTAACGCATTTTGCTCAAGAAAAATAGGAGATGTCAGCCGGAGACGATTGCAGTCTGCAGGCTGAGACACCTGCAGATGGTCCGGATAGAACGAGCGTGTGGCTGAGACCTCTGCGATCTCCAGGAAGGTCTTCTCCACTCTGCCAAGGTCGATCTTCTCATCGAGGCTGTTGCGCAGGTTGCCACGGCACCTCGCGAGACTTACTCGGCTGCCCCTAGTCGGACATAAACGGAACACAGCACTACCGTAACGAGTCCACCTTGCGGAACGAAGCAAAGAGAGGGCTGCTGCCGTGCCGGTGCGTTGCAGGAATGGATCCGGCAACACGTAGGAGGTCAGCGCATGAAGCTTCGCCAGGTAGATCCAAGGCAATCGATCTCTCTGGCCGCGGAGCTCACACAACTGAGGCCGCAGGGTGTACACAAAGAAAGGCGGAGAACGAAGTTTTTTCAGATTCAGAGAAACTGTGCAGTGCCTTGCATCGGGTGTACGAGAAGCCTTGGCATGAGGCAACAAGAGCATCTGCTCAACCTGTTCATGGTTCGTCTGGTTCGTCTCCAGAAGCAAACCATGCTCCAAGCCGATAAGGGTTCCAAGATTCTGGTTGGAGGCCACATAGCCACCCAGCTCGTGGCTCTCGATCCTGCCCGTCGTCTTCTCCACGTGGAAGCGCATTTGCAGAGCTGGAAGGAAGACCAGCGGCCGTGGGTCACAGGCAAAGACGTGGACCCGATCTCGCGGTGCTACTCGTCCAAAGACCTTGAACAGCTCTCCAAAGGTCACGCTGCAAATGTCGATCAAGTACAAGCTTGACTCCGTGTCCTTGATCCGCTTCTGTTCCAGGTCCAACACAAAATCGGAGCCCGTCTCCGAACAGCCCAATGCAAACTTTGGCTCCTGGAAGTGTGTGGGTCGGAAATAGATGGCAGGCGATGGCTCCTTGACCAGCCAGTGGCTATACTTGTTGATCAAGTCAGCAGGGACATCGCCCTTGAAGGCTTCGTGTGGAACCAGCACGGCTTTCTGCCAGGACTCAGTCTCTTCCTCCGTGCCATCCTCAGAGGGAGAATTGGCAGGAGTGCAATATCTCTTCTCTGTCACCGACACTTCGCCATCCGGGTGGAGAACAAAACCGAAGTAAACCGAGTCCAGGAGACCTGTTGTATAGCCTCCATCTGGAGCGGGCTGGACCTCGAAGATGTTGCGGCCAAAGAGTCGACAATAAGTCTCACTGTCCGTGATCTTCTGCGGCAAGCGCCCCACCGGATTGCCATTGACGAGGAAAGAGCCACGCAAGATATCCACATGAAGAGTGCAGCGGCCAACCCCTGGCTGCAACTGAAAGTGGACCTTGTACCAACGACCTGCAGGTGCAGGACACCGCGTCCACACCCCATAAGTTCCATCCCTCCCTCCACCCCAGTGCTCTCGCGAGAATTCTGTCAGGCGTGTGGGGGGAGACATGCCGTGGATGTCGCGCTCGATGCTGAGGGCTACGCACATGGCATGCCGAAGGAGCAGCCGGCGTTCTCGGGGCATGCTCTTCTCTTGCGATCGTCCCAGAAGGATATTATCAAAGCACGCAGCCCGAACTCGTAGCCAATCAACGAACGCATCCGCCGACATGCAAGCAGGAAGCTGCCCGCCAACGCAAGGTTCAGGAACGAATGTCAGTGTTGTGGTTGCAGAAACGTCCACGATCTTGTCTCGGAGATCTGCGACTGCCGCGATGTCAGTTGTCTCTTGCACAACTCTTCGAAGACGCTTCAGCCAATCAATACCAGTACGGCGTGCAGTGAGCAAGACGTTGTGGGCTTCTGTGCGAACTCCCTTTCGAGAATGCTCAGCCAAGAATCTGGCAACATGTACAACAAAGAGCAATGTCCCATTCTGTGTCCAATTCTCCCTTGACCGATCAAGCAAAGAACCAATCTGCTCACAAAGCTTCAAAACGAGTCCATCCTCGACCAAACAGCGAGCGGCCTCGCGCAGAACTGGAGGCTCTGGATCAGACGAAGGCCTATCGCTTGGCCATTCCTGTGAGTCTATCAGAGGCGGGCCAACTTGCCATAGCAATGCCTTGACCATGTTCAAGACCCCCAGACGGTAGAAGGTAAGGCTGTGCTGCGCAACTGCGCACATCAGCCGAGGAATTTGCAGTTGCAGCCCACTGCGTAAGCCTCCGAATGTCTCGAACTCCAGCAAGGATATGTCAACATGTGCCTCTGACTTCAGCGCAATAACCTGGTTCTCGTTGCGCTTCCAACTGGATACATGCTTGTCAAGCACCTGGTACCGCACATCATCTGTCACAAGCTTGACCAACGGCTCCACATCCCATTCAAGAGTAGCACTGACGAGGTCGTGGCCATTCTCATCGGGCTTGTCACCGGCCAACAAGCAGTTGTACCCATGTGGAACGACAAAGCTGGGATGCGAAAGCACATGTGCCTGCCGATAATGTGTCTGACAGAACTTCTTCCGAGTGGAACCCAGCGAGAAATCCACAGCCTCCAAGGCTCGCCACTTCTGCAGGCACGGATCCTCGTTCCACAAAGCTTGCTTCCGGCCACAATAGAATTCTTTCGGGCAACCGATCTCGCGAGCAAAGAGTAGAGTTGCGTCCCGCTGCAATGCAAGGAGGTCGGGCTGCTGCAGCTCGAAAACAACTGCATGCTGTTCGTTCTGATCTTCTGGCAAAAGCTTTTCATAGAAGGCGATGCTTATCTGATCGGCCTGCGACCGATACTGTTTTGCTACCCGATGCTTCTCGCATTTCCAACACGAGGGCGAGTGCCTCTCATAGGTGCCACCGTATGCATTGCGACCTTGCGAACTTTGAGCTAAAAGGTGCACGAACTTGCAACTCTGTAAAACGCACGCGAAACCGACGAAAGCAGCCTTGCAAAAACTATCAAGACAGGGGTCAGATATCATATTCGCAGGCTGACCCACTTGCAAGGATGTCCTGCTCCTCTGCACGGCTGCACAAGTCGGAGTGCCGCTTTACGGCTGCTTCGATCTCCTCCTTCTTCCTCGCTTGGTTTCCTTTGCACTCCTGCTGGATCCTCACTCGGACACCCTGCATCTGCAGGTTGCTTTTTGCAAACTTCACCCCAAAGCTCTTGTCTGCAACACACGGGTCAGCTGTGCTTGGGCAGGTGGCAGCGGAGTCGCGCTGATGAGCATAGGCCTCCAAGGAGAGGAGGATCTTCCGTTCATGCCTGCGTGCTGTCGTTGGATCGAGCATGGAAGAACGTACGGCTATGCTACCCGCATAAAACGATGGTCTCCCATGGCTACCGAGCTGCAGATGAGGAGCGAGGATGACGTGCAGCATGTTCATGTCTATTCCCAAAGCATGCTCTTTCAAGAGAGGGAACTGGGTGCAAGCATCCCTGTCAACCATCAGCACGATTGTGGCCACGACGAGAATTCTTCGACTTTGTCCGTGAGGATCTTGGTCGTAGTGAGCACCGCTCAAGTCGATGTAGGAGGTGAGAAGGCGACGGAAATCAGGCGCGTGGATGGTAAGAGCAGAGTCCCAAGCCTCAGCACAAACTGGCCTCAACCACCCCGATTGCCACTACTCTCGCAGTATTGTCTTAACTGCAAGGCAGCAAGACTGCAAATGAGCCACAGAAAGGATCCACCTCTCCGCATCAGACAAGGCGGTTACGATATCTGCATCCTCTGTTTCTTTCGCAGCCTCCAAACACATCGCGTGCGACAAGCACTGGTCTTCGGCGCGATCGCGGCACCATGGGTCCTCCACCTGGCCCGCTTATTCAAGCAAGTCTGCTAAGGGCTGGGCTCTCAACTCACAAGCTTAGCCCACGTTCTCTTTACGTCCCTGCAACCCGGTCCTCGCAGTCCTCCGGCGGCGCAGGCGGCAGCATCAACTTCTCGATGCATGGAGATGAATGCTGCAACCTCACCGTCCCGCCCCCATCGTTCAACTGCAGTCGGTACTAACTAACTTGAATGTCCTGGACCGAGTCCCAAGCCCCAATCCTACAAAAGTTGGTGAATTTAAAAAAGAGTGTACTGTGAGCTTGACAGATGCTTGTGCTTCATGTCCCGAGCGAAACGCAGCGACCCCGGCCGTACCGCGCATTGTATTTCTTGCTCCGACAGGGAGCTCCACGCCTTCAGAGGAGAGATAGTTACAGCCGCAGAGCTCCAAACATGAGCTAAGCTTGGAGTAGGCTTGCTGCTCGCAGAACAACTGCAAGGGTTCGGTCCTGGAAATCGAATCTCCCCAAACCCCCAAACCCTCACGTGTAGGCGCCTCTCGAAGGCTCGCCAGGGTGGCCTCTGCAGATTCCCGGGCATCCCGTATGGCCATCCTGCGGCGTCGAAACACGCACAGAGAGGGCAGATCCTTGCACCAGACCCACACGGTGCTGACATGCACTCGCTGCAATCGTTTAGCCAACTCGAACCCTCAAAAGCCTTCCGAACCAACAAGTCGAAGCAGATCCCGCATCCTCGCCGATTGACGCAATTGCTCATTCTCCGAAGTCTCCAGCTGAGCCTTCTCAAACGTGCGAAGCTTCAACACCGGCTCGAATGCGTGCAAGGTTAAGGTGCAAGCTGCTAGGCGAAATGTTCGTGGATGGAGTCCACAAAAGAGGACATAAGCATGCCCACATGAGCCGTGCATCCCCCTATGACGTTTGCAGTAATTCAGAAGCCCTCGGGCAATCAGCACGGGGTGCCTCAAGCTCGCGAGCTTGCAGTACGACCTTTCGAGCGCCTTCCATCTGTGATGAAGCATCTGGCATGGTCTCATCCGCAACATCCATAGATCTCGCGTGCTTCAGGGTACGCAAGTTGATTTGCAGCAGCATTATCCTTGGTGACAAACTGGCACAGTGATGTCCAACGGCCCTACGCAGAGGTAGATACTAGCATCGCTTAACTTTGCCACGGCTCTGGTACATGAGCTCCCCCGCTTCCGTTGTCGAGGCAATGCGACGGCACCTTGAGCACAGCAGACAGCTCTGAAACATGCCTTCGATCCAAAGCCCCTAATCATGGCCCAGGGGCTCGACATGTAGAGCTGTCCTCGCAAGGGAGTTTTGTCACATTCTGAGGAGCCCTGCTTCTCACAAACTTTCAAAGCCAGAGCCTCGCAGCTGTCCAAGCTCGCGATACGCGCCAGGGCAACTCAGGCACAGCACCGCGGGAGTAGCGCACCTCGTCAAAGACCTCAGCACAGCCGGCAGTTTCACCAGGAAGGCTTCTTTTCTAGCCTTTGCCATGTGCCACCACTACTGCCGATACAACAGCCGAAACCCTTGCGAGTGTCTTGAAGTCAACCCCCTCTGACTCTTGAGGTTTGGGGTTTACGCTGCGATCTTGCAAATATACACTGGAATCCCCGTACTCAATTGCACCAGTCTCGACTCGGGCCCAGCCAAGCCTCGCAAGCCCAAATACACTTTGAACTGCTTGAAAATCGCAACTTAAACAAACGGGAAGCATAGGGCCAGCTGTATTGATCACGATCACCACAATGATCATCTGGGTTGTAGTTTTGGGGCCATGAACTGTATTTATGAATAGGTACCTCTAATGTCTATAGGAACCATCAGGGAAAATGCTAAAGTGTCCCAAAGTGCCTATGGACATGTGTTGGTACGGCCAAAGATGAAAATAGCTCCTCAGATCACTAATCTTATCATTGCTACCAGAGCAGTAGCAGTAGCCCCAGCAGTAGCCGTAGCAGTACCGTAGCAGAAGAGGCATCATGCATGTGCTTATGCAGAGTACGTGTGCACGCATGCACTCACCCACAGGACTGGATGCAGAGACACGTTGCATCCTCCTTTCCTTCGCGCATTCGGCAGGTGTGGCCGGAATCCTTTGAGGTCCAGGCCTTGGGGCTGAGGAAACCAGGACAACGATCGACAAGTCGTGCCGGAGGCACACTTCTAGGGAACCAAAAACGTACAACGAGATGTGGTAAAAAAAAACCCTCGCCCCCAGGCAATGGCCAACACAGGAAAAGGGGCAGGGGAAAGCCATGCCGTTGGGCACAGCCTCTGTTTCTACAGAAACCATGCATAAAGAGTCTACAAAGTCTCTTCGCCGCAGACATCGCCGGTCCAGTTTTGCCAGCTTCCTCTCGGCTTTGAAGATCGCCTTGTCTTTGCCATAAGCCTTGGCAACATCCATGCTCTGCAACGTGCGACCGCGAGCTTTCAGAATCTCCAGCCTCCCAGAGAAGTCTCGCACCAGTGTGATGTCCGCCACCGGCGCCACAGGCTTGGGCTTCCCAGAGGAGCCCTGAAGAGCCTTCATCCGCTCCTCCAGGTGGCTTTTCAGAAGACTCTCGTCGTCCTCGGCATGGTACTCGATTCTGGGGGGCAGGTTGTCGATGACCACCGAAAAGTCCTGCACGGAAACACTTTCGAGGTCATCCAACTTCGATTGCTGCGGGATCTCGATGAAGCGGAATCTTGCCAAGTAGAGAAACAAAACTATCATGCAGGAGATGTCTAGCCAGGCAAAAATGGGGGTCAACTCCGACAGCTCAACTCCATCGCAGCCTGCCCGCACTAGGCGCAACAAAGGGTCCAAAAGAGCTTCGTGTCCGCCGGCAGACCCAAGTTGCCGATGGAAGCCCTGGCCAAGACTTGCCCGTTGTCGGGCGCAAAGGTGCCCTGCAAGCAGAAAGCCGTCGTGGGGAAAGTCAGGGCCGCCATGGTTGCAAAGAGAATTCCGAGGCTTCGAAGTGTTTTGAAATGCATCTCCAGGCCACTCCCACCAATCTCACTGAAGCCGTCGATATTCGTGCAAAGTGGGTTCAGCCACCTTCCACCCACCACGTGCCGCTCTGCAGAGGCCATGTCCGGCTTGGACCGGCGGACGTCTTCCTTGCTGGATGCGCGAAGATCCGCGCCCCCCGCGCCCGCCGTGCCCCCGCCCCCTCCCTCTGGCAGCACCTTACGCTCGCTGTGTTCGTGTCGACACCAGACGTAGGGGACCAGAACCACGGAGATCAGCCCGAGAGCTCCGGCAGAGGAGACGATCCAGACTCGCGACAGGGCGCTGCTCCTGCCGCCCACGGCGATCTCCACGCATTTCGGTGCCTCCGCGGCCCAGGTCGCGATAGCCAGACTTCCGTTCACCGGGCCCGTCTTCTTCAGCCAGCTTGCCAGGGCAACGCTCGTCACCATGGCCAAGGGCCCACGCGGAAAGCATCAAGTCTGAGATGTCTGCTCATCCTTATCTTTCAATGGCCGTTGCTTTCTGGAAAGGAAAAGCTTGAGCCAAAAACCTCGCATGATGCGGGAAGAAGGCTGTCAACGAGCGACGCTCCCTTCCGGGACTTTAGCGGCCAGCGCACCTGCTCCCAGACATAGGAGCTGCCGTCTTCCGTCAGTACAACGACCTCGCCTCCACAAGCCGGCAGCAAGTAGTCCAAGATGTACCTGAATCCAAGCCGTCCAGGCATCCAAGCCCCTAAGAAATCACCCTTTCGCAACTCCCCACGTGGCCGAGTGAGGCTCCCAGGTCTCCTCGACATCCGCGCCCTTGCCGGCTTTGGGCGCAGCGTCTGGAAGCTCTTGCTGCGCCAACTCTGTCACAAGCCGATAGAAGTCCTCGCTGTCTACAGTTCGGAAAGTGCTGGGCTACTGCTCGGAGCATACAAAAGCTCGCGTCCGTCCTCATGGTCGATGACGCCCCAGGGAACATCGGTTGCTGCAGCAGGCAATTGCATGCAACAGGGCTCGGAAAGCATAGCTTGCGCCAGAGGTAGCTGCACGCGCCAGGCGCTGAGTCTCGCTACATCACAAGACCGCCGCTCTATGTGCAGCACTGCATTCTGTTCCCGTATCCAAAATGCAACAGCTGCTCCTTTGGGAAGAGAAGAGACTGCGTCCCGCAGATGAGACACACTCACTTCATGGAGTAGGGTGAAGATGAACTCTTGGATAGGCATAGCCCATGTGGGGGCAACATGCGCCAAGGTTGCAATCACATCTTCGTCGGCTCCGTCCTCCAAGCTCCCGGGAAGAGAGCGAGGCACAAAAAGGCTTCGGAACACGGCGGGACTGAAAGCGGCTCCCCCCCTTTCACGAACGTCTTGCACATGGTGGGCCAAGGCCACGGGCTGGGCGTCAGCTCTCGACTCCATGAGGTCGCACGCAAACTCGATGGCCTGCCAAACCTCTGCGGCTGCCTCCGATGTCTCTGCCGGCACCCTGCGGGGGTCGCACTCGTGCTGACGATCTTGATAGGCTCTTTGCCACTCGTCTTCGTCCGCATCTTCGTCGACACCGAGCACCAATTCTGCTTGAACACCTCAACGCGAAAGTTCAAACAAAAAACCATCTTTCTGATGAAAATCGTGTAGAAACGAAAACCATGAATCGGAATGGACCCGTCAACACAGCGACCGACGTAGGTTTTCGCTGGGACACCCTAAACCCCAGACGAGAACAAACGTCGATCATCTCCACACCAGGCTTCACTCTCAACTTTACAACCTAACCTTGTACTCATAAACGGTATAAGCCCACGAACTGACAACCCATGACCTGCAATGCTAATTCGGGCCCATGTGATTTTAATTTTGGTTTTCCACATGCTCCCGCCTCGGAACGAGATCGGCATGTGGGCTCCGATGTGTGGTTTGTGGGTTTCGCGCCTATGAAGGGAACGGGATAGACGCCTATGAAGGAAACGGGATAGATGAGAAGGACACGGCCTGCACCATGCCGTGCATCAACCAGATTTCGACATTGTACCTTGTTTTATGTGCGGCTCTCTAGGGTGAGATCGCTCTTGAGCCAACAGCTACTTCCCCGATTCGTTGGGCACGGGCTTGGTCCAAGCAGTTGAGCATCTTCTCTCTGCTGTTGCACGCAGACCACAAGCTCCCGGCAATGCATTTAAAACAGCACCTTCGACATGGAATTTCAATCGTTCCCTTTTCCGGGCTGGCAGGTCCCTATGGGACGCACGCAAAAAAGAAAACACTTGCTCCTGGCCATGCTGTGTTGCATCGGCAGTCTCAGATCCAGGGGTTAATATCAAACCAGTGGCCTCGTTCCAAGCCTCCAAGCCATGCGAAGATTTAATCTAGTCAAGCGGAACAAGCTCACAGTGCTGAACATAAAAGATCACCGACGATAGGGATTTGCAAGGTTTGGGTCAACCTGTCACGGGCCGAAGCGTATGCATCCAAACAGCTCCTTCTATTAGCCCAGCCAACACATCGTCCTGTAGCTTACCGTTAAATAACTGGAACTATCACGAAGAATTTACTTCAATATATCCATTTCTATCATTCCAAACATAAACTGTCGAAGAATGTATGTAATAGAAAATAGTAATTGGTTGGGAACTCAGAAAAATCATGAGGAACCGTGAAATTGTTAAACCCCAACATGGCTTTTCGTTCTATCGATGTTCTTGTCAAACTACGCGTTAACATCAGCCATTGTGATAGACGTATCCTTAGCCTTTGCATCTTTATACGCAACAGCTTTTGACCAAAATCCGCGTTTATCAAACTAAATGTCGGAGACTATGTTATCTTTCTTAGCTTTACTCGCAACAACACAGACGAGATTGAAAACATAATTATTGTTTGGCTTGTTGTTGTAAATGTGCTTGGCTATTCATTTCATCCAGAAACTTCGCATGTTTCTTTGTTTTGTAATTTTGCGCTCGGTTGTCGCGTGTGTAATGACCTCAGCATTCACATTTTGTTGACGTTATGTTTCTCTCTAGTTGCCTTTTTGTTCTCTTCGCTGTATTGTTTCCACATTTGTTTCATTGCCCCCTTCATACCATTTCTTACAATGTTGTTTTCGCTATTCTTTCTTTTCATGATGATATTTTCGATCTTCCTCTTTAAGCCTTAGTCTTTCTATGTTGTCATGTTTGCATTGTTTTTTTCTGTAAGTCCTTCCTGGTTGTTTGCAGAATAGTCTTTCCTTGTTCTTCCTGCTACATATTTACGCAGCCATTCAACGTTGTATGATGCCCTTCTCCTTTTAACCGCTTTTGTTTGCTTTCACATGGGTAATTCTCAATGAGTTCGATGTTGCAGTTCTGCACGTCAAACTCACCAAACAACACAAATCCAGATCCTTCCGTAATCTTCGTATCTCTTCTTGCACTGCTTTCTGTTTCAAAGCTTTTGCTCACTTTTTCAGTCGTGCTACCTGCGTAACATCTACTATATCCGACATATTATATATTTCCCGCATTTATACCGATTCATACCACCGTTTTACTAATCCAACCATTCTTTTGTGTTTCTTTCAATTTGCACAACCACTACACATAACACACATACTGTTACAATTGTTTATATAATATGCCGTATCTTTGGTGGTCAGCTTGTGACCTTCCCTTTCAAGTAGAAAGGGTTCATGGCAGTCGGTGCATTTGTTCTCTGATTCATCCATGAGCCACTCAACATGTACGTAGCCCTCTTCATTTATTGGGCGCCATGCCCCTCCCTCTATCTTGCTCCATATACTGTTTAACTTTCTGGTGAAAATATCATTGTATCTCAAATTCTTTGATCTCTCTCTCTCTCTCTCTCGTTATCTCATTGTTATAAAACTTGATGTAACATGAAGTAAAATTTCGTCTCAAGTTCTATAAACTAGTTGTGCATGTTAGCGGTAAAGCCGAAGGCTTTGAAGGCGGAGTGCCGGCACAAAACTGAGAAATCGATTAGGTAACTTTAGGTTGCTGGGTGTTCGAATGCACCCCCCCTCAGAACTCACGGCAAAAGAGATTCGAGGATGCGCGGAAATTTTCGAGATTGATTGAGACGATGACGATGGCCCACTGGCGTCCACAATGAAGAAGACTTCCAAACAATCAAGTGGCTGATAAGCCACCGTTTTTTGGTGTGCGCGGGCCTCGTGACTGCTCCGTCCGTCCGCATGCAAACAACCAACAAACTTCCAAGATTGTGGCGGACTTGGTCAGCCAAAAGCCGTTCAAACAAACTGGATCGCAAATCACCAGTACAGAGGACAAAGTCCTTCATGTTTGGAAGGGGCTTGTCCACTTTTTCAAGTGATCTAAGACAAAGCACAAACAGCTGACTGCAAACAAGGCAAACCACGCCGCCAACTCAGCCAGGGGTGAGTCCCCCAAGACGCTTAGAATCGGCCGAAAGGTTTTCTTGCCCACCACATTTTGGCTTGAGCCTGCGGTGGGCGATCCTTTGACAAGGTGCGGAGGGATCCCAGTTCCACATTCTTTGGCGGTTCCGCAAAGTTAAGCATCAGACGTCTTTTGATTGCTACAAGAAGAACGCTGCCACAGAACGTGGGATTTGCATTAGAGACAATGGCGTCCTTGTAGAAATTTCTAAAAACACAGATAGCACACTTAACCAGTCCAATACAAAATCCAGAACATGTTTATTTTGTCTGATCAATTTTTCAACAAGGTGTCCAAGCTCCAAGCATGAATCAGAGCTTCACTGGAAGTCTTCTGGAGATCCAACGGGGACAGCCACGACAACATCACGCCATTGAAAGCGAAAAGAAAAAAACCTGTTGCACTGTGGGGGGATTCTAGACTTCAATCCGTGCCCATCAGATAAGAAGGGACTTTCCAAAATTTTGATGAAGTTGAGGTCCCGGCATCAGCAATCCGAACCTGTTCACGGCAAGAGATGAACCTCGGTATGCATAAGCTTCCTGTGTCTTTGATGTCGTCGGTCGCACAGCAGCAAACATCGCTATCAGGTTGGTTTGTCAGTTCATTGATGATGTATCCTCATTTTTGCAGGTGTGGAGCCACACGTCTTGCATCCACAAGTACATTTTGAAGACTTGGAACAAAAGCCTGTGGTGTCCTTATTGTAATTTGCACATGTTCTTCTAATGTCCTTCCAGCGTCCTTCCAAATTGGGTCGCAGACGTGGAATTTTGTGTTGTGTCGAGTGTCTGGCCAATAAGCGTATGTTGCTGTCCCTAAGGTTTCCAACATTCGAAAATGGAACATACTTTAAGTCTTCTGTAAAGCCAGAACGCTTCCCCATAGGTTGGGGTAGGCAGAAAACTTAACAATGGCATAATCTGCCGATTTAGTCAAAATCGAGACTAATAGTCAAAACTCGTTTATGGATATATATCCTCCTTGATATCCAAAGTCCTACGTGGATAATAGTGCTTTTTTGGCTTGTTGTCATATCCAAAATCCTAGGAAATATCCACGTTGTTTTGGGGGCTCCAGATATCCAAAATCGATATCCATGACGAATTCTGGATATGCCCCCGGGGGCCAAACTTCGACGACTTTCGTTTGAAACTGCTTCGCAAACTTCGTGGGCGGATTTGTGGTTTTCCGGTCATGCAAAACAGTCATGTATGTGTATATATATATATGTGGGTATATACAAAAAACAGATGGAACTGCATCGATATATATATATATATATATGTAAACTTATTTTCTGTATCAGAACCCTGCTATACACAAGAAGTATACAGGAAAAGCAGCCCAAACCCCGCCTCAAACTTCGACTCAAACTTCGTCACCTAACCCCGGCAAACTACAACACCATGCAACGAAGTTTGGTCGAA